TTGAGGAAACATTTCAACATATCTCACCCTGTAGATTGTGTATCACAAGGAACCTTCTGTCACCCCAAGTTATAGTGGGTTTTGTATCATCTGCACTCCCCAGCTTCAGATATATTCTGTAAACAGATATTCATGCAACATGAATTGCACCAGTATCAGTTTTCTGTATTTCTAATCCTTGCTGCTTTTGTTTACAGGGAGCCACACAATGGCCCTGCTGGAGAAGCTGGAAGCCGGGAACGTTTACCTGGTGAAAATCTCTGCCTCCAACCGGGTCGGTGACGGGCCTTTCTCTAACATTGTGGAGCTGGCACTGAAGCGGGGAAACACCCACCGCAGCAAGAACCCCAGGCACTCTGACAGCTTCCCCGATACAACAGGTAAGCATCATTAAACACTGAAGCATACATGATAAGAGGTGTCTTATCTTGATGAGTTCATTCATTTGTTGTATCAAGCTGCTAGTTATGTGGCAGGACGTTTATAATTATATGAAAGCAAAGCTATACTCTGATGTTAGTATTCTTAGCTTGAAATGTAATGATTTTAATTTCTCTCAGGGTATAATGTAATATTAGGGTTTTGATACCACTTAGTGCCTCAAATTAGGCTTCATTTTATTAAGTTGCTTCATTAAATCTATGTATCTTGTGCTGACAAAGTGCATTTTTACTGTGAGGTGATGTGCTTTGACTTCAGTATGGATTCATAGTCGTAGTAAAACTGGTCTATGGGGAGTGAATGAAAGTTCCTCTCTGGTAGGAAACAAACCACTAGGAGGCGTAAGTCAGCAACACTTGACAACCTTATTAATTTATAACCGAAAACAAATCTCCTGTTTATCAATTTTCTCTAAATAGTTTGAGGTCACGTGTAATCTTTTGTAATCTGAAACACTGCTTTTGTTATCTTCCAGTCTTATCTGATGGTCTCTACCACATAGACCAGAGGTCTATGACAGGGATCATTGTTGGTGTGAGCATCGCCTTGGCCTGTATTGTTATGTGTGCCTTAATCCTCATCAGTAAGGGCAGACCAAGGTACTGATCATCATCATTTTGCAATAATGAAAAGCTGTTGACAATTACTTTAGAAAACATAAACAATCTTTTCTTTGTTTACATTATTATCTTTGAATGACTCATAGGAAATCCTCCAGTCACAAAGTCATTGCTGTGGGAGCTGCTGAAGGTCCACATGCTGGTTTGTCTCTGCCCAATGAACACCACAGAGAGAACGTTGAGGCCCTTATACCCATGATAAGTCACCACTTTCTAGATACCAAGGTGAGCCAAACAAAGAGAGAGAGAGAGAGAGAGAGAGAGAGAGAGAGAGAGAGAGTGAATGATCTTGTGATGATGATTCTTAATTGAATTAATTTCACAGTTACATGTTCAAAGTTCAGAAGAGCACATGACCATGAAAATAATCTGCGTTTCTCATATGTTTTCTCATTTGTCACAGAGTGAAGCTAATATGGTCTTAAATAGTGCCGGTCCTATCAGCAGCAAGAATCAAAGCAAGAGGTGGCTGCTCCTCAAGAGGGAGATCAGGAATCCAGCTGAAAGTGATGTAAGTGATGCAACATTATTCTCAGTCAGTCAAATTTTTTATTTATTTTTAATCTTAAATTCAATTTGGTTGTCTCTATCCCATTAGGCTGAGAGGAGAGCCAGCTTGTATGAGGCTGGCAAAACAGTTTTGAGGTATGAGGAGCAGTTAGGTTCGGTGCCCTTGCCACCTTCGTCCAGGGAGATCATCTATGGACCGTATCACTCGGAGAGCTCTCACACCAGTGAGGGCAGCCAAGAGACGGGAGACTCTGGACACTACTCCAACGAAGAAAGCAACGAAGAGATGAGCAACCCTTCGACCAACCAAAGCTCCCGACCTGAGTCTTTTGGGTCGGACGATGGCCCCACTGCCGCTGAGCTGAAACAGTCTTTTGACGTGGAAAATGAGGAGATGTTGAGACATCCCCTCCATCACTCCGCCCCTGATGCTACCCGCTTCTGCTGCATCTCAGAGTGCTCTCATCCTGCCCTGCACACGTCACAAGGAGTCGGCTCCTGACATCACCCAGCCTAGATCTTCTCTCCAGCAGCCGAAGCTACGCCACTTCCACCTCGTTTGCTTCCTGAGATGAGCCCCTCGGTTATTTCCAGAGGCACATGGGATCAGGAAGCCAGCTGCTGCGATGGACGAAATGTGCTTTTGCTTCGGATCTACCTCAGGATTGTTTGAATGTTTGTTATAACATTTAATTTCCATTTTACTTTACTTTCTACCTGTTTGTCTTTTTGGCGTTGTCTGTCCTAAACCAAAGCTCACCCATGATGAATGTTAAAAAGAATGTCAGAAATGTACTGTGATACATTTTCATTATATTTAAAATTACTTTCCACTGGAGCAGAGGGTGAATTTGGGCCCTTTAGAACGATTATCTACCTCCCGTGTTCTGTTCTTGTGTATACATTACTACCTCCTTTTCACCACATGTTGTGCAGTATTTCTCAGACTCAGGGGACAAGGTGAAAACATTTTATTTGCCATGTCTGAAAACCTCTGTTGGGACGTTATTATATAGAGGTCCTCACTTTTTGAATTTTCGGAACTTTTATTTTCACGGTTTTAAGAGCTTTTGTTTCACATTGTTTGTCTTTGAATGGTGTATGTTGTGAAAATAACAAGTGCATTAGATATTGTCAAGCTAATTGAGCTTTATCATACAATATCGTTTGGCATTTCCAGTGCACTGAACTCTAAGCTTTAACATGGCCTTACTATCGAAAGGCCTTTGCATACTATAGAAGATGAGATCCAAAGATGGGAAGAATTGTACCCAAAGAGTTTTTGATAATACAATAGATATTCTAAGGCAACCAAAAATATAGAGAATATACATTAAGGGTGCGTTTGCCAAAATATTGTTCTTGCCAATGATGTAAATTTCCCTTATAATGGTGGTTTGAATGCTTTACTCAATGTACATTTTCTTGATGCTTTATTCTGGTGAAAGCTTTAGCACAAGTCTCCCCGGCTTGTGCTCCATTTGCCTTCCAGACCATTGCTAAATGCAGCGGTGATGCCGATGCTATTATCCAAAGAGTTGTCTCCTTCCTCAGATGGGTATGGCTTTTCATTCAGTTGATCCTCCGTGCTATGAGGTGGAAATATTTGACACAAGACCAAAGATCCAGTTTGTCTTGCCAGTGATAGATGATGATATTTATTCTTTGTTTGGAGAATCATCTGTTACCGATCACAAATATAGCTGTATGGGGATGAATTCTCTCTCTCTCTCCATGATATTTCCTGTCCAGGTGTGACAATGAAGGATTCAGACTATCAAAATGGAAACCCTCTGTGTGAAGAGCAACATAATCAATTTTTTATATCTTTATAATACAAATAATCCTAACCAAAGAAATTTGAAGTCTCTGTTATTTAGTGATTTTCTTTGGTTTTCATTTACATTATTTGCATTTAAATGTGATATAATTTCCAATGGCTTTGATTGCTAGAGAGGCATTTTTACGTAGTTTTTTTAAACTGTTCTGCTGTATTTTATCACCATGGGATTTTACCTGAATGATATTATTGGACATTTTCATTTAGATTGTCTTTTTAGCATGATGTCGTAAACAAAAACATTTCCCAATTTAAATGTGACATTTTTTTCTAAATGAATACGGCTGGTTTCAAGTTCAAAGTTTGTCTGTGTTATGCATTATTATAAGAGGTTCATTTGAAAGCCACAGATAATTTTGCTGACTTAACTCAGGTGCCAAATGTAGATTTAGAATGTAGACTTAAATGTTAATATTTAAGTTGTGTTTTTAAATACTAAAATTCATCTTTTAATCCAAAGTGAGCAACAAAACAAATTATTTTAAGTGTTGAAATGTTGCAACAGACTTTTTTGATACTCTCAAGATGATCGCAGATACTAGATAATAAAATTGTTCTTGGAAAAATACCAATTTGTGTTGCACTTTGTCTCTTTGGGTTTGTGTTTGTGTTTGATTTATGAGCCTTTTAATATTTATTGAAAGGTTAAGATGACAAGGAATATTTTGAATAACAGTGTATACAGCCTTGAGAATAGGTGACAAACAATGAAACGGTGCCAGATGCTCAACATTGAGTCAAGATTTCATCTTGTGTGAACACCACGCTCACCAGCTGTATGAGAAAAACAGCTGTGGAAGAAACAGCTGTAAGACACACTGTAGGGATTCATGATTCAATTAGGTGGGAAAAATAAAGTGTTAATTTTTATTATTAATTTTGTAAATATAAGAAATTATGAAATACTTCCAAACATTTGTCAATATTAAGAAATCAACTCATTTTTCACTACCCATCTCCATATGATTGGCTGAAAGGTAAAGTGGCAATGACATGTGGAAAGATGCTATTATGAAATATAAATTGTAGAAAGAGAACATTTTTTTATAAAAGGTGAACTCCAATAAAAAAGAACATCAAACAATATTTGTTCACACTGGCTATTTATTTAACAAAATTGTATTCTTATTCAAAGTATGGAGATAATGGACATGAGGAGGTTATACTATTCTGTGTTGCAGCAGTTCGAGAGAGAGTCCAAGCATATCTAAGAAGTAAGAACATAAATTATCTTCCTACTTACTAAGATAAGATAAGATACGATAAAATAATCCTTTATTAGCATACAGTGTAGTGCAAACAAGAGACACAGTACAAATACCAAGATCAAAACAAGTATTATAGATAAGTAAATAAGTAATAAAACAGTAAAGAATATTAACTAAGTAAAAAATCCACAATAACTTAAATATTGTATGTACAGACAGAACCAATCGTCAATGCAATGTGTACTTTTATCAGCAAGTTGAATCCTTTCACAAATTGAAAGTATAAACTTGGTTTGACAGAAAGTCCAGCAGGGGGCAGCACATTCCTACCACGCGCTCCAGCAGCCAGGATCGAAGAAGACGAAGAAGAAGACACGGGGCGTTCTTGTTTTCATCGTCTGTCGCACGCAGCAGCTCTGCGGCGACAATGCGCATCGAAAAGTGTTACTTCTGCTCGGGGCCAGTGTACCCCGGGCATGGGGTTATGTTCGTAAGGAACGACTGCAAGGTATGATCCCGTATTTCACCCTGAATAATCCTGTAGCTGTAACAGAAGCTCGTGTTTGACTGTCAGCGTTCACCATGTAGCTATCTGGCTAACGTTAGCATGCTAACGTAACGTGCTGTTCTCGCTCACGTGGGACCAACATGGGGTTTTTAGTTTACACGGTAAACAACTCAACGTGGTGATCGTCTACCTCCGTGTTGAGTTATTTACATCGTGGAGTTGAGGCATACTTTCTGAAATGTTAGATCAATTCTGCTTTTGATCAAATAAATCAAGTTGTTGAATAGCTGGACGTTAGCAGGGCCTCGAGTTTGGCCTGTGGAGTAACTGCGCCCTCTGGAGGCGACGTTACACTGTGGGCAGAATTATAAACATCCACACAGTCATCTGTGAAGCTTAAACTGGTTGTTGAGATTGTGTCAGCGATATTTTTTAACTTTGCATTAATGTTTAAGCTCTAAATGTGTGGTACGCCCTCAGTATTACACATGACTACTTGTGTTTTCTGTGGTTTTAACAGTCACAACAAAGATCGAACATTAGCTTCACAAGGGTTCATCTTCTTTTCATAGTACAGTTAAAATGTGTACATTTTCTAAAACCCATTAGTTTATAAACTATATTATGTTACTGTTTATTACAGTTTTAATAGTGAATAATTGTAAACATCTGTTACATTCATAATTATTATGTAAAGTGCATATGGTGTTGGGAACACCTTTTTTTCAGGCCCTTTTCCACACTAAATCGTCTTTTACATGAGTTTATTTATAAGCATTTTTGTGACAGACGTATACTAAGTGAGAGATTTTATAGATGAAAAATAAACTTGCTGTCAGACTATGTAATGACAACACTGTTTTCTAAACTACCTCAAACATGCCTTGAATATGTCGCCCATAAAGGTAGTTTAGATCGTGTGTGAAGTTTGGCTAATATAATGTTAAATCTTCTTCTTGAAGTTCTTGTGGCATTTTGATTTGCAGAATCTGAATGACTTCATACATTTAAAAAGAGAGAAAGTTATATTAAGTTTAACTCAAGAAGAAGATTTAACATTATATTAGCCAAACTTCACACACGATCTAAACTACCTTTATGGGCGACATATTCAAGGCATGTTTGAGGTAGTTTAGATCGTGTGTGAAGTTTGGCTAATATAATGTTAAATCTTCTTCTTGAGTTAAACTTAATATAACTTTCTCTCTTTTTAAATGTATGAAGTCATTCAGATTCTGCAAATCAAAATGCCACAAGAACTTCAAGAAGAAGCGTAACCCAAGAAAAACCAGATGGACCAAAGCATTCAGAAAGGCAACAGGAAAGGAGTTGACTGTGGTGAGTTTATCTATTGAGAACTATCTCTGTGTCATAAATTAGTTTTGTTATTTATCTATTATAAATAACAAAAAATATATGTTATTTAACATCCTGTCTTTCAGGATAACGTCCTGGAGTTCGAGAAACGAAGAAATATACCTGTTAAATACAACAGGGGTCTGTGGGACAAAACAGGTAATGTAGAAATGTTTTTCTCACGTGTACTTGCTGTAAATTAGTTTTGTCATTTGATTTTTGAACTAAAGAGTTTTGTGTCTATTTTAATTTCTACAGTGGAAGCCATGAAGAGGGTGGAGGAAATCAAACGGAAACGACAGGCAAGATTTATCATGAACAGGTGAGCAAGTCATTCATATTTTGAGTTAATCTTTTTGCATCTTAGAGTGACCGTCTTATGTTAAACAGTTTTTATTGACGGGATTTGGAAAACCATGTTTGCCTCACCACTGCTGTGTTTGTCTCCACTTAATAGATTAAAGAAGGGCAAACAGCTGGAGAGGGAAGAGGACATCAGCGAAGTGAAGAAAAATATTCACCTTATCAAAGCACCACATGCAGGTAAGAACTTTTAGAGTCACCAAATAGCCAAGTTATACACAAGAAAGTATACTATACTGAATACTTATGAATGTACATAAGATCAGTCTGTGATTTCAGCATTGTTAAAATTGTGTTTTGTTTTTACAGGAAAGGCCAAACAAATGGAAGCCAAGATGGTGCAGAAGCTACAAGAGGACGTGGACATGGGGGCTGAAGATGACTAATCTTGTACCCAAGAGATTTTGTTTGTGACGACTCTCATAAACAAGTTGATTTTGTATTATATTCTACTTCTGTTTTGGAATTTAAAATTTCCATGATTCCATGCTGATGATCGACACAGTAATGGATTCACTTTTAAATAGCTGTACGATGATTGAAAGCATTGATTTAACGAAGATCTGCCCCCAAAGCAGTATGTAACCACATACCTTCCAGTCATTTTTTTTTCCTGTGTGGTAGTTGGGATTGAAAATAATTTACTCTTATCCTGTTGCAAAGTAAAATGTATTTCAGTCATGCAGAAAATGTTAAGCGGTAAACAACAAAAATGTAATAAACTTCTTTTTGGGTAATGGTCGTTTGATTCTTTTTCTGTGACATTGAACACACAATAACCATCGCTAAATTAAACATAAGTTGGCGCCACACCAAGTGTGTGTATATATAATATATTTGACAGAACTAAGAAACCAGGACAATTGAGTTTGTTACATGTGGATTTTTGCTGATAAACCTAGAATTTCTGGTTATTGTTTTTGTATGAAGATCATTATGTAGGAAGAGAAAGTTGGCTGCACTTAACAATACAGCACACACATGATGTACATAATGTAAGCACCTCATTGAATGAGATTCACCTAACTAGTGTAGCCTATGCAAAAAATACAATTGGGCTATGTTGATCATTTGGACATCTGTCACATTCAACTACAAGTTAACTGAACATGTATCAAACAATTCTACATCCTGTCTATAAGGGTGTGGGACAACAGGTATAAAAACTATATTTGTTATATTTTCCAACACAATTGTTTTCCTCCAGAAATATAGTTTAAGATGGGTTGAGAAAGATTAGTCTCTTCTTTTACCACCTATTTAGATGGTAGATTAGCAGGTAGATTTACACTGATTGAAGAGAGATTTGATACAACAGATTATTGAAATGAAATACTATGAAAAATAAAATCTTTTATCTTTTAGGCCCAAATACATTTTTCTTTAAAGATTCCAACGAATTAATTGGCAAATTAAAAGTAATATATTGTGTTTTATTGAGGCTAAGATGAGTCTATGGAAAGTCTACAATAAAATTGTATCCATATGTAATATTCGTTGTGAAAATCGATTTTAAATATTTTAATATTTAAAAACATATTAAAGATGTTGTACAGATAAAAGCTTAGTGTTCCTGCTGCACTTTCAAAGCATGAATTATTAAATGCAACTTCTACATATTTAATGCAAATATAGTGTAAACGCACGTATGACATCACTTGAGCCCTGAAGCTATTTTCACCTTTTTTTAAAAAATCGCTTTCTACTGCACAGATTGTAAAACGCTTGTTTTGCGCGACACTTGATAAGGTACCATTTAAAAACAGATTAATGTGATGATCTGATTGTACCGGTCTGTTTTCCCATCTGCATCTCTGGCATCGATTCACCGGCCTGTTGCTGGACAGGCTGTGCATGACATGCTGCTGTCCTCGCCCGCCGATTCGTCTCCATCTGCCTGCAGCCTGTACCACCTTCCATCTTCCAGAAGAGCTGGTTTAACGGCTAACGTTTCACCCGCGGTTTTGCAAGCAAAGCAGGGATTCAACACAGCAATGTCTGAGGAGGTCGAAGGAACGAGGACTTCGGAGGAACAGCAGGTTAGTTGTAACGACTAACGTGGCTGCCAATTTAACTGACGTTCGCCCGTCGAGTCTGCTAAATTAGCAGGCGGTTAGCAGCAGGCTAGTTAGCCAGTAGCTACGCTAATGTCACCAATGATGCTACCGCCAAGTCACTAGCTAATGAGCTCGTAGCGTTTTATTGGTAGAATAAAACAATATTATTGTTGTTTTGGGGGGCTGACGTGTAGCGTAGATAGCCACAATTACGTGTAAATATGTGGATAGCTTAGCTTAAATTGGTAAATGTTGTAGCTTTAATATGCTAAGTTAATTGGGAGGATTAATGCTAACGTCAGTGCAAACACTAGTTTGAGTTTTCCCCTCATGGCGGCGTCTGCATATTTTGAATTATATAAAAATAAATTGTAAGCACAGAAGCTGTAACTGCTGTCGGAATGTGTATTGCAGTTTCGTTCATCACTAATGTCGTGTGTACTTTCAACGAAATTTCAGAATTTTTCTCCCCTCAAGTCAGCTTAGCGGAGCATTTACCGTCCATACATTGTGTTCTTTCTGCAGGAAATGGAGGACAAAGTAATTAGTCCTGAAAAAGCAGAGGAGGCCAAACTGAAGGCCAGGTATCCTAACCTGGGAGCCAAGCCTGGGGGCTCAGACCTGCTCAGGAAAAGACTTCAGAAGGGGGTGCGTTTCATACCTAAACTTGGCTAGCTCCTTATTTCCTAAATACATGTCTTACAATATTCTCACTTTACATCTTCTGTGTCCAGCCAAAGTATTTTGACTCTGGTGACTACAACATGGCCAAGGCAAAGATGAAGAATAAACAGTTGCCATCGGCCCCAACAGAGAAGACGGAGATCACCGGGGGGCACATCCCAACACCTCAGGACCTGCCTCAAAGGAAGACTTCAATTGTGGCCAGCAAACTGGCTGGTTGATGGTTTCATGTTTTACTCTCTTGTTACCATTCCGACACCCACTTCATATCTACCTGCTGTTTACGTTTTTGTTTGTTTTTCACCTTTCTATGTATTCTCCAAGAACAAGTAATGTACCAAGCCAAATTCTTGAGACAAAGGCACTGAATTTTGAGTGGGTTAAATCAAATAAGTAGCTGAACATGTTTCAAGATCTTAAAAAAAGTAAATTGTGATTGATTATAAACGATATTATAAAAATGAATGGATGTTAATGGTATCTCGCATAACATTTTCACCTTTAAGGATATATATGCCTCCGTACAAATTGCTTGTCTAACAGAAGTTGAAGAACCTCCGCAGAGAAATCTTGTTCTGCCATATTACTGATAATTACTGAGGCAAAAATACTTGAGTTATGACCGCAGACAGTTTGCATTTATGTATGAAGTAGAAGTGTGACAGATATGCTGCTCATATGGAGGCATATCTGTTTTAAATAGTGAAGTGATGTTATCTTGCTTTTTTCTTTTCTAATCCTTTGTTTGTGTCCCCTCTCTATGAAGCTGTTTGATTCTGTGCTTTCAAAGTACTGACAATTAGACCACACACTTTATAGCCAGCTGTATTTTAATTCATTTTAGTGACATTCGTTTGCAAGGACTTGCTGCTGGTGTCCATTTCATCCTAACCTCTAAAATGGCCTTAAAAGTAATGAACCGTTGTTCCTCTTGAGCAATATTTGCTCCCTCAGTGAGAATCTTGGTTATGAATTTTGCCTGAAATGTCTGTCACTGTCTGACTGGAATCACTTAGGATTTTATGGAAAGAAGCTCCCATGACATGTCTGGAGTGTGCATGTGCAGTCATACTGTGCCATTTGTTTTGTAAATAAAATAGTTTTGCATAATATGTCTCATGTTATTTAAACTACCCACACAAAGAAGCGCTCAGTTTATGTAGTACGCAAGTAAGATGGAAGCTTAAGAGGATACAAATATGCCCTCATCCATTGGTGGGTATTTGCAAAAATATTAATATTTTCCGAAGGATTTAGATATTTGATTATATAACACCAGATGAGCAAAACACATGTTAATGGGAAAGTAAGTGAATAACTTATGAAAATGTAGAGGTAAGCAGTGACCTATAATTTTGGAGGTAAACTGCTCCATATACTGGGGTGGACCCGAGTCTTAAACACTTGTCTACGTGTGTAAGTATCTTTATTTTCATCTGGAATGTATCAAGTGGTGTAAAATGAAGTTTAACAAATATAAGTTGTCAAATTGAGGAAATTGCACATTGAAATATTGTGACATTTCTATTTGAAAATAAGTGAAATTCAAACAGTTGTTGAAATCAATTCAATAACAGATTTTTTTCTATCTAACATTCACCTGATTTCTGCAATAAATGTAGCTTTTATCCTCATTGTAGTGTAGTTCATCACACTTTCATGATAAAGCTATATGTGCACTGCTCAGTTACAGCTATGGCTATTAAGTCAGATAGCAATATTCTGATACCACTGATGTGCGTACTAGGTTACACTCCCTTTTAATGTTAATTCTGGGTAAAATCATTAAAATGATCCTTCGTACATTATGATCATCGTTTGTCACGAGCGTGTTGGCCGCTGGGTGGCGGGCAAAGGCGCACGAGAGCAAAACGTGTCGGTGCAGGCGCAGCTGAGTGACACATGTAGCAGCAACAGTTCAACTCTTCTGTACCGGCGGCGGAGAGCACCGAGCCCAGGAAGAGGATCCCAGACAAGTTCATGTCTTCTAATCTGGAAGTCAACAAAATGTTTCATGTTTCCTCTGCGAGCGGAGAAAGTTTCTAAAGGTTCACTGAGCTTCTTCTGAGACATGGCAGCCTCTGAACTTTACGCTAAGGTAGGCATATGGACTCATTTATCGTTGTGCTGCACATTTAACGTGTTTCTTGAGCTAAAGTTCTGCTAGTTTATCTATCAGGAATGGCGGTTTACTCGTGTCAGTCACATAGAGGTGTTTACAGAACAGTTAACTCTTTAAAATCTTAATATATTGCTTTTTTCTATCTGCCTGCCACTTAAAATACCTCGTATCAATCCACGTTACACGCATGACTGCTGTCTGCTGACTTCAGGTTAACGTTAGCTACTCTGCTCACTTTCCTGAGCTACATGTCACTGCTGTTTTGTTGTAGTTTTGCAAAAGACTGGGTGACTGTGACGTGGTTGAATGGCTCTGACCCGGTTTCCCCCCTTTGTGTCCATCAGTATGCCCGTGTATGGCTGCCAGATGCAGGAGAAGTGTGGAAGTCAGCAGAGCTCACCAAAGATTACAGTCCTGGCGACCTGAAGCTGACTCTGCAGCTGGAGGATGGCACGGTAAGACGAGGCAAATGCCACAAACACACATAATAATAGTCACGTGCACTGAGGCGGAAATGGGTGTGTGACGTTCTGGCAGAGAGCCATGAACATATTTCTCTGCAAGAACACTGGCAATGGAGCCTCGTGAATCTGGGTGTGCTGTAAATGCACATACAGTAGATTCCCAAGACACCTTGCGCCTCTGTATGCAACGTGTTCAATGCAAGAAGCCTTTTTCACCCTGCGCTGTTCCTACCTGCAGTTGTGATGTCGAGTTTGGGCATGCACTTCAGGTATGGAAATAAGGCTAAGTGTTATCGTGAGTGAACACGAATAAGCCAAGCACAGTGGTTGCTAGTTAGCTTTAACATGAAGAAGGACAGATGGTAATGTTTTATTGCTTAACCATCTATTTTTACTTAATTTGAACGTGTTGTCCTGACAGTTTTTGCAGGTTTTATTGTAAGAAACTTACTTTTTTTTAGCCTCATACTGTGGGTACTCATAGCTAACGTCTTGTGTCTTTTATAGGAGGTGGAACACCAAATAGACCCCCGAACCAACAACCTGCCACCGCTAAGAAACCCGAACATCTTGGTAGGGGAGAATGACCTCACAGCTCTCAGCTACCTCCACGAGCCTGCAGTGCTACACAACCTCAAAGTGCGCTTTATCGACTCCAAGTCGATTTACACATACTGTGGTAATAAGCTTCATCTTCTTTGACTCACACTATCACTGTCACGGTAGACTTTGGAGCCCTGCTCACTGAACGCTCTTGAGATAATCTACAGTAGGTTCATCATGCTGATTATTGTGGTGCAGGCCACTCTTAAAGGAACACCCATTAAATGTATTAAATGTTCATTAGTTTCGTAACATACGTTTACGCTGAGTCTAACAGATTGTGGTGTTTAGGGATTGTCCTGGTTGCCATCAACCCTTACGAGAGCCTTCCCATCTATGAAGCGGACATCATCAACGCCTACAGTGGACAGAACATGGGAGACATGGACCCCCATATCTTTGCAGTAGCAGAAGAAGCGTACAAACAGATGGCCAGGTTTTGGAACCTCCAAATATATTCCATTGTACATTTGAAAGCAAATTAAAGTCTACTTATGATGACACTCTAAATTGCTTTTAGCTGATATTTGGTCTGTATGTCGTCCCATCCTTTGAGACAGAGATGAAAGGAACCAGTCCCTCATTGTGAGCGGGGAGTCGGGAGCTGGCAAAACCGTCTCTGCCAAGTACGCTATGCGTTACTTTGCCACAGTCAGCTGCTCCTCTAGTGAGGCCAGTGTTGAGGAGAGAGTCCTGGCCTCCAACCCCATCATGGAGGTAACACTAACTCTGCAGGAGAATAAGACAAAATTATAAACTGACAAAAGTTACTGAGAACCTTTTTGTGCATTTCCTCTAGGCTCTTGGGAATGCCAAGACGACAAGGAATGACAACAGCAGTCGCTTTGGGAAGTACATTGAGATTGGGTTTAATAAGAAGCATTGTATAATCGGGGCCAACATGAGAACCTACTTGCTGGAAAAGTCTAGAGTTGTGTTTCAGGTAAATGTCATTGGTTTGGTTCCATGTGACTGTAAATGTGGCCGTCCCCATCTCTGTTTCTTATGTGCATCTCCTTGCAGTTAATTGATTTAAGACACTCTCATGAGCATGTAACATGTGTAAATCTCAGCAACATCATAACAAACAACATTAGCATCACTCAGTTCAGCCTGCCTGGCTCTTTCCTCAGAAAGTCGGCAACAAATTTGGTTTTGTAAAGAAACTGTGAACTATTTTCAAGAGAGAATTTGATGGCATCAGTTGAAGCCTGGGTTTAGCAATGTGCTTACAGTTTATGCATGCGTCTAGGTGAAAGAGCTGTCGATTTCACCGAACGTGCTTCACGCAGTACTCGTGTTATTTACGTGGCTCCCATTTCACATCTCTTTGCACTACTTTTAGGCCGACGACGAAAGGAACTACCACATATTCTACCAGCTGTGTGCCTCTTCACATTTACCAGAGTTCAAAGCCTTTAAGTTAGGTATGACCAAAATATCAGATGTCATTTTAACAAGCTTTACAAAAAAAAAAAAAAACGATCTATCCGGTCTGTTTAGTACAATATTTAATATGATTAATGTTTGAAGGTTGCGCAGATGACTTCCACTTTACTAACCAGGGTCAGAGCCCCGTCATAGAAGGAGTGGATGATGCCAAAGAGATGTGCAACACCAGGAGGGCTTTCTCAATGTTAGGTCAGTGCTGGTTGCTATTCAATAAGGATTGCTTTTACATCATGTTGAATGGACAGTACTCTACATATGGTTTTTTTTTTTTATTTGGATTTCCTTACGTGATCGAGTACTTATTGTTTTCATTGTAGGAATCAGTGAAAGTGATCAAATGGCCATTTACCAAATTCTGGCAGCTATTCTTCATCTTAGCAATGTGGAGGTGAAAGATCAGTCGGCTGACAGGAGCAGCATCTTGGTAAACACGCATTACCTGCTGAACACGGCATAAGAACATTTTGCCGAGCATACCTGGTTAATTTTATGTGGTACCCGTATACGATCATTATTGTTGATGTATTTCCAGCCAGACAGTGTCCACCTGATGGTGTTTTGTGAGTTGATGGGTGTGCCCTATGAAGACATGGCCCACTGGTTATGTCACAGGAAACTCCAGACGACCACAGAAACCTATGTCAAGTCCGTCTCCAAAATGAATGCGGTCAATGGCCGAGATGCCCTCGCCAAACACATCTACGCCAGACTCTTCAGCTGGATCGTGTGCGGTATTAACAATGCCTTGAAGTCTGCAGCAAAGCAACGCTCCTTCATCGGTGTGCTCGACATTTACGGGTATGTGTTCATCTCCAGGTTTGTGATTTGTTTTCCATTTATGTTCCCTAGATGACCAGACATGCTTTAATTTAAACGTGCGTTATTCCTTTAGGTTTGAAACATTTGATGTCAACAGCTTTGAACAGTTTTGCATCAATTATGCCAACGAGAAGCTTCAACAACAGTTCAACCTGGTATGGGTCTTTTCTTGTTCAACTTGTTAATTGTTTTTAAATCAAAACGTTCAAGTTAATCATTTCCAGCTGTCGCTCCCTCTAGCATGTCTTCAAACTGGAGCAAGAGGAGTACATGAAGGAGGAGATCCCGTGGACATTGATCGACTTTGATGACAATCAGCCGTGCATTGATCTGATCGAGGCCAAGCTGGGAGTTCTGGACCTTCTGGATGAAGAGTGCAAAGTAAAATGCCAGTTTCGTTTTTTTTTTTTCCTCTTCAGCAAGTTTCCACTGGAGGAGTCTCCACCGTGCTATGTTTGGAGCTTATGAGTAAGGCCATGACTAAATGATTTGTCAGCTCTTCCTGTTTCCATAGATGCCCAAAGGCTCTGATGACACATGGGCCCAGAAACTGTACAACACCCTCCTGAAGCAGAATGCTCACTTTGATAAACCCAGGATGTCAAATAGAGCTTTCATCATCCACCACTTTGCAGACAAGGTAAAGCACG